GTGTCAATGTTGCCCTTGGCAAGATTTAGCCAGCCGCAAAGCCTGTGTAATTCATGGATGCCAGTGTGTAGCTAAAAATAAACTTCACCCCATGTGTGTTTTTTTCCCTCTTTTCTTACCTGGTTTCCTGGGTTGTCCTCAAAAAATATACTTCATCTTCTCTTCTGACATTATTGGGAGCTGGTGTAATGAAGTGTACAGCGCTAAATGCCCTTCAGGAAATTAGATAACAGTAGGGATCATATGGTGTCACCTCCGTGTCAAGCAATCGTGAAACAGTGTATATATAATAAATATTTGTGTAAAAACTTATAGTACGTTATAAAATGTGTCAGCAGGTGTCATAAAAGGCGTGTCATACATGAACCTTATTAAATAAATAAACAAAAATCTTCAAAGAACATGTCATATATGTGAAAAAAATATTATTGTGAAAACAATATTAAATAAATAAATAAACATGTGTCATATATGTGAAAAATAAATATATCACAATATAAAACAGTCTGTGTTGTTTTCTTTTGAAAATAAGTAGAAGTATGCACTTATAATATAAAAAATGCACCCAAAGTTCTTAAAGCTCTCCGATCTTCAAAACAAAAAAAGCCCAGAAGAATGAGAATCAAAATCAAAATCAAAAGCAAAAGAAATGTCCAATATTATGAAGTGTCCAACGAAAAAACGATAGAAAAAAAAAAGGGAGGCAGGTCCCCTATAGGGAATGCACTCACCAGATCCCTGATGGTCGAAAGCCTTTATTCTTATCCAATGGAGGCCGAAGATGTATGTCCTCTTCTCCCGTTTGGTGAAAGCCTCAGGCTACAGAACCCGCTTGCTTCTCCGAGGTGAAGGGATTACAATCTTTGTTGTTAGGTCTCCTCTATTGGGTATCCATCCGGACAAAGAACACAAGAAATGCGCTCATAGCGTAGTAAGTTCAACTTTAATGGGTCCAAAATAATAAATACAGACAAACAAGCGCTCTATAAAAATTCCATAAAAATCAATGTGGAAAGCCGGCTAGTCACTCAATCTGAGTGCAAAAAGGACTGGAACAATGACGTAAAGGTAGGCCCGCCCCCGACGCGTTTCGTCACATGGACGTTCTCAAGGGATGACAGGTCTCTTATTTATTATTGGGAGCTGGCTATCTCTTCCGGGCTCTTGCAGCCAGCCCCCTGATAACGTGCATGAGCTCCGCCATTGGGGGGCCGGTGGCAAGAACCTGGAAAGAGACAGCCATCCCACTGATGATGCGCCACAGTATATGTACATGTTGTGAATGTGGCCCGAAGTCACAAGATAATGGGCTACAATCTCAATACAAATGAGTAAACTAAACGTGAGCAAGTAGTCCATCACGGGAGTGGTGGCTACTTTATAACACACACAGTGACCATGGGGAACATAAGTAGCCACCCTCCAGAAGGAAAGACAGTGTCAGCACCAATTCAGAGATGATTTGTAGCCCTACAGCCGAGTGATACACAAACAAGATATGTTTTTGTTAATAGTTAAAGGAGAACTATGAGGTGAGTGATTTTCACTCACCTCATTGTTCTAGCCGACCTCTGACAATGAGACTGTCACAGGTCGGCTCAGTAGATCGGGAGGTGAGCGAACACATACCGGCGTTCGCTCACCTCTCGATCCTGTCACGGCTCTCTGCCGTGACAGGGGAGGGGCTGGATTCCCCTCTCCCCGCTCCGCCAGCGCTGACTGGCGGAACGGACGGGGGAGGGGGCGGGTACAGCTGGCTCTGCCTTTAGATAGGCAGAGCCATCTGTCAGTCACGCAGCTGGGCGGATCCCGGCACAATTGTCGGGATCCGCTTCAGCTGCGGTTTCTCAGTATACCGTGAGCTACAGCTCGCGTTATACTGAGCCTAGGGTGACGGGAGGACGCTAGTTTGTGTCCTCCCGTTACCCTAAGGAGAACTATGGGGAAAAAACTTAACCCCATATTTCTTATTTTTAAGATTTAACTCCTGAGTTTAGTGTCACTTTAAAGTGCAACTGAAGCCAAAACCTTTTTTTTTCTTTCTAGTTTTGGACATAGTAGGCAGGGATTTGAACACTGGTTAGGTTTTTTTAACTGTGTGTCCCCTTAGGCAGACTCACCCTCTTTATTTGTCCGGGTGACTGTTATCCCTGAAAGTGAAAGTAAAAGAAAATCCCAAATTTTAGGTTGTCACCAGGAATGCGAATATAAGGGAAATCATCCACTGTGGACACTAGTTCTGGTGGCCCTGCTGACCAGCAATTTGGGGGGATTTTCTCTCACTTCCTGTTCTGGCTTTAGGACAGGAACTTTCCACAATGGGACATATGGCAAAAAGAAAGCTAACAGGGGCTATAACCCTTCCTTACTCTACCCAAAAGCTAAAAAAAAAGTTTTGATTTTAGTTCTACTCTAATAAATGTATTTACCAAGCCCACACAAGTATGTGACTCTTCTACAGTAGGCGGTAAAAAAAAAAAAAGTATATTGCTGTATTCTGCACAATACACATCATAGGCAGTGACTCATGTCCAAGGCCGCCTATCAGTCTTCGTTTTCATTGAGGGATGTTAGTTGTCTGCCGGTGCCTAGCTACGCTTCTGTCTATGGCTCGTTCTTTGTACACGCTCCCCACCCCTAGATCAGCCGGACCGCGGAAGTAGCGGGGCAGACGTGGCGGCGTCTTGTTCGTGCTGGTGACAGGCCCGGGGTGTGATGAGGATAAACTCTGTCCTGCCCCCCGCAGGCTCGGGCCGCCCCTCGGCTCTATAAGCGGAATGCAGAGGCCGGGAAGGCTCCACG